TGGAGGTGAAGTTGAGCCGCTGAAAGTTGGATTTTATCTTTGTGCAAACAGGTTACATAAATCTAGAAAACTGTTGTGCGGGTTTCAGAGTTTATATTTTATACAGAGGTTTATTTCAGCAATCTGTTTGATAAAACTTACACAACATGCACATTTGTCAGTTCTATCTTTTAAAGAAAGACTGCGTTACAGGTTTAGTTAAAAAAAAAAAAGACCAGTACAACATTTATGCAGTTATAATTGATGCAAAATGCTCAGATTTTATTTGAATAGCAACCTCTTTGTTATATTAGCTCCTGTCCAGTAAGACAATATTGCATTGCAATTCTCATCCTCCTCAGTGACTATTTGACTGTAGTTTATTAGGGAGGAGTGTGTTGAACCTTTCTAGGCGATGGTGATGAATGTATTTGTGTGTTTTCTATGGTATGTCTATACCCGTCAAGTGCTTGTTATAGGTTGTACTCTTGGTGGAAATCAACCAGATTCGTTTAAAACAAAACAGGAGGAAATAAAACATCTACATTGAAGAAAAAAACAAAACATTTATTTTGGGAGACGTCGTCTTCTTTTTCTGATTAGTAGTCAAGTCCAAGTTCAGTTTTGATGTATTTTTGAAGAAATTACATTTGTACATGTATACTCTGCGTTGATACACCTAATATGTAACATGAAAAATAAAAAAAGTTTCACCTCTCTGTTGCACTGTTCTATTAAAAAACTTAAAAATAAGTTGTCCTGTTAGGTGTCGGTCCATCAGAAAGCGGCTCACAAGATAAATGCAAACCAGGATTAATTAGTTTGCTGACATTATTTTCCACTATCAAATTAATGTGTGATTTAATTTCCTGGTTAAAGGTCAGACAAGGATAAAAACCCTAATTTTCAAATTTCAAATTAAAAGATCCAGATTAGCTTTTTCAGACTTTTAAACTCTTTAAACATCTTTTGTGAGATGGAAATAATCAAAATTCATCTTTTTATTTATCTGATAGGTCGTCACTGAGATTACAGAGGGTGCTAATGTATCTGGTTCCACGCTATATATGTGCTTTTGTCGAATAGGTGCAAAGACCTGCAAGCATCACCTCGTATAACTGACTGTACCGTGAGAGATAACCTCTGACAGACCCTTTGAAATGCGTTTGGGTGGTTTGGTTTAGATATTCACTCTGGTTTCAACCAATTCAAACCAGTGAACTCTACACGATTT